CGTGCAATAGTGCGGTTGACTCCAAAATGGCCGGCGAGTCGCGAGTCATGGTACTCCCCGAGAAGGCGAGTCCGAAGACGACGGTCTCGTGGGACACATAGTAAGTCCTTGCCACTCGAGTGGAGGAGCAAGTACCCATCGGTAATGCGGTAGTGGCTGGCCGGCGGGTGATCCGAAGATAGCTGCGCATATAACRTGGTGAAGTCCGGATCAGACTCATAGCCCCCGATGAAGTGTTRTTGGAGTTCCTCATCGAATGTGAAGGCATGATGTGTCATAGCGCAAAGATCAGGTCTTCGCRAGAGTGCATCTGCTGCGTGATTGGAGAGGCCGGGGAGATGTTTCGATGTGAAGTCAAATTGGTCGATGAAGTACATCCATTGTCCGATCGTGCTGCTCATCGTATCTTGCGTCTTGTAGTAGGTTAATGGGTTGTTGTCYGTGACCCATGTGAACCTACGATGCCGAAGGAGGAAGTGTCGCCATGGCTTGAGAGCCATCACGAACGCGAGCAACTCCTTCTTCCTTGCATCATCAAGCGAATTGATGGGAGACACTTTGTGGCTGAAATACTCCACAGGTTGCCAGTCGTCGCCGTTGTGTTGTTCCGAGATTGCCCCAATGCCATAGCCGGAAGCGTCAGGTGTCACTCTCGTAGGCAGTGTGGGGTCATAGATACTAAGGACGGGTGCCATGATCATGGCTGTCTTAAGTGCTTGGAATGATCGGTGTGCGTCGTCATCGAATACGAATGGCACCTTTGACGATGGTAATCTCGTCATAGGCGCAGCAATCCTTGATTATCCGGTGATGAATTGCTAATAGTAGCCCGCCAACCTCATGAATGAACGAACGTCCGTGGTGGTGGTGGGCTCAGGCCATACGCAGAGGGCCTCGATCTTGTCCGCAAGCGGACGGTTGCCTTGCGGCGTCACATAATGTCCCAAGTACTCCAGCTCCTGCCGCGCGAATTCGCATTTGTCGCGGTTAGCTTTGTACTTGGCTTGTCGTAGCCGCTCCAAAACGGTGCGCAAGTATTCCACATGCTCGTCCAAACTCCGGTCGTACACCAGGATGTCGTCGAGGTAGATAAGTACGAATCGATCCAGCATGTGTCGGAACTCCAGTGTTATAGCCGCTTGGAAAGTGGTCGGGGCATTCGTAAGGCCAAATGGCATAACCAACCATTTGAAATGCCCATATCGCGTCTTAAACGTGGTCTTGTAGTGGTCCTCCTGCCGAATCTCGAGTTGGTGATATCCCGACTTGAGGTCAAGCTTGGAGAAGAACTTGGCGCCGCCCAGCCGTTCGAGAAGGTCGTCGATACATGGGAAGAGGGCCGACGTTTCTGACCGTTTGCGCGTTGAGCTTGCGATAGTCGATGCACAACCGCAAATCCGTGTTCTTCTTCCGGACGAAGAGAACGGGAGCCCTGTATGGCGATGAGCTAGGCCGAATCCAGCCTTTCTCCAGAAGGTCGTCGAGTTGTGCCCGTAGCACACTTGACTCTTCCTCACTCATTAGGTAGATGCAACTGCGCGGAGATATAGCCCCATCCTTGAGGATGATCTCGTGGCGGATGGGCCGATCCGGTACTACTCCGTGCGGCCCTTCGAACACGTCGCCGTAGGCGTCGAGAAGCTTGGTGATGCGTGGGTCCGAAGATGAGTTCGTCGATGAAGCGTCATGGGGCGGGAGGGCGTGGAGAAAATACACCCCAATCTCCTCGATGTCGTCTCTCATGATGGAAGCTCGCATGCTTGTGGCGGACACCACGTGACAGCTGATCGAAGGGTGAAGAGGAGTCACCGTGCATGGGGCTAGTACTCCGTTCCGATCACGAACGTGAACGGTGCGGCGGTAGAAGTTCACCGGGTGATCCTCGCTTCGCAGCCATGACATGCCCAAGATCATGTCGAATTTGGCGTCCAACATATAGAAGGACACCGCCTCGCTTGCATGCGGGGCAAAGTACACGCGGACGTCATCTATGCACCGGTGTATTGACTTGTGCGTGTGACCATCCGCCAACGTGACTTGCGTAGGCTGGGACTTCCTCCGGACACGTGGGCCAAGGCCGGCGCGTACCATAAAGTCCTGGCTCATGTAGTTGCAAGATGCTCCGCAATCGTTCAAAGTGTGCAGGTCGCCTCTCTGATTTGAATGCGTACATATAACAATGGTGCGTTGATGTCGTCGTACCAATGTGTCTTGAACTCGTGGTCGATATTGGCAATGTAGGCGTGAAGGTCGACAACCTCTACTCCGGCGTCCATCAATGGAGTTGGTATTGCAGTGTGCAAGTAATCTCGCAATTGTGCCATGAGTACGTTGCAATGCGGTTTCGGCAATCGACCGGACCGGGGAAGGGGCATCCATTGGAAGTCCACAAACGTCAATGGGTTGAGCTCTTCAAGTCTAGACCATATCGTCGAATCCCCGACTATAGATGGCGACGAAACTTCCGACTTGGTTGCCGATGGTAGTGAAACCGTTCATGCGGTAGATTGTTGCACGTGGCGCCGTTGGTCCAACGGTGGGACCAAGTGGACAGCATAGTCCTCGTAAGTGTACCGAGAACTTGCGAGATTCGCATCCTCCCCAGATGTGTAGGAGGCCACTAACAAGTCGGCCGAATCTCGCGAAGTGAGAGGTGGAGTCGCCTCACCTCCTGTGGAACTCGGTTTCCCGAGTTGATACGAGGCCGAACATCCTCCTTGCCTTGATCCGGGCATTGGCAGGTCTTGTGCTTGGTGCTGTTGCACCAATAGCAGCAGCCGTAGTGGCCGCGCCACTTGTATTCCGCCTCGGTCAAGTGAAACTTGACCCATGGTGCTGGCTGTCCGTTTTCGGCCGGCGATGCGGTTTTCGCCTTCCCGTTTCCTCGGGACTTGTTGTTGCTTCGCGGCTGGACAACAACCACCTGATCTCCCTCACGTGATGCTTGGGTGGCTGCCAGGTCTTCCACAATGTTGTCCGTTTGGACTGCAGCGACATGCTGTGGCCGCGGACCAGTTCTCACCTTCTCCACATAGGTTGGTTGCCACGTTGACTTCTTGTGTGCAGCCGCTTTGTTTGTCTTGATGATCTTCCTCGCCTTGTTGATGATTTCAGCGAAGGTGTTGTACAGCTCGCGATCACCAAGCGCAAGGCTCAAAGCAGCGCATGACCGGTTGTAGAATTCCCGGTGGAAATGGCAAATCCAGATCGGGCGTTGCCACGATCTTCTGCCAATCCGTGAGCCAATCATGTGTCGCTGTGTTTCCTAGAGCCATCGTGAAGATGCGGTTGATGGCGAGCGTCGGGGCGTTATCAACGATGAACCGCTTCTTCCATTCTTTTGTCAAATCCTCCTTGGAGACCTTCTTGTGTAGGTCGAAGACCTGGACGCCGTGGACGGTTGCCATATGGCTGAGTCAGATCTGGCATCCTCCCTTGGCGTTAAGGAACAGTGCGCCGATGAACAGATGTTCGGGGACTTCATGAATCCCCAACTCCGTTGTGAATCCTTGCCATTAGACGACCGGGTCTTGATGTGTGTAATCATCAAACTTCTCGATCCAGAACGTCGACATCTTGTAATGCTTCGCCGTGCTGGTGCTGCGATGGGTCAGACGACTGTTGTTGCTGCCTGATCTCGGTCTTCTGTGTGTCCAGCTGCTGGCTGATGGTGGTTGGCGCTGCGAAGGTGCTAATATCACCTAGCATTGCCACTGTGGGATCGACGCGTTCCTCCAGTTGGCGGCCAGAGGGTGCACTGCTGGACTCGCCAGCCTCCGGTCTTGGTGCGGTTTGCTCCAAGTCCTGTACACGGGAGTCAAGTGCCCGTGTTGCATCCTCGTGCTGAGCCTTGTGGTTCCTCACGGCCCGCGGGAGGTTCGCCAGCTCGGACTGCAGGTGGTTACAAGTGTAAACCAACCGAGTCACAAATTTGGCCATGAATTCCTTGTACTGTTCCTCTGGTGTCGCATCGTCGTGCTCCTCGGATGGTTCAAAGTGCCAAAACTTGAGCTTTTCTATGCTGGTGGCTTCATGCCGTTGTAGCAGATCCTGGGCTTCCTTGCGGCGTGCCTAGGTATCATGTGCTTCAGCTTCGACTTGAAGTCGCTGCTTCTCAGCTGTTGCCGCCGCTTCTGCCTGTAGGCGGACAGCCTCGGCTGCCACCTGGCGTTATTCCTAAGCCTCGATCAGTGCGAGCTGAGTCTGGAACCACTGTTTATACTCGGCAATGGACTCGTTGGCCAGCTGGCCTTGCATGCCCGGAGTTGAGCCCGTTGTCGGGCGGCTGCCTACCAGCCGGATGCTCCTATTGCGGACTGAAGACTGGATTTTGGTTGTTTTTTTTGTTTTATTGCTTGTTTCTTTTGTATGAATGTATCTGGCTGATGGATTGCGAGGGAATTTGGGTTTCTTATTGGTCCATACTAACCCTGGAACAGCCGGGATGTGGTTGCAGCCTGACGTGGATGGAAACCCAGAGATTTCAGTGTAGGAATTGGGAGGAAGAAAAGGGACAACAAATATTGAAATCGAAGGTGGGAAATTCGAAGGGGGGGGGGGGGTCCGAGGACCAATAACGAGCATGTGACGGGCCTATGCGGTCGACCAAGCGTGAGCTGGAACATTATGAAACTTGGAAACAGCCGCCCGACTTCGATATGGCCGCGACCAGAAGGGAGATTGGTACGGGGAACTTGGGTTTTTTTTGGCTATGAATCCGCCATCTGCGATCGGGCTGTTTTGTTTGGAAATAGGAGGAACTATATCGATGCAGCAGGACCGAATTGGATAGTTAATCTTTGCACGAAGGAATCGTCCTCCTGCGAGCCTGCATGGTCTCTCGAGTTCTGGATGCTCGAGTGCAGTACAGTGGGCAGCTACCCTCTCCAACCGTCTGCGCCAAAGCTTGGGCGTAGATATCTTGTAAAGAGGGAAAAGAAAATAAGTAGATATATCGAAGTTATAACCGTATGAGATTGGAAAGCRCACCTCGGGTTTCTYGCCAACCACCGAAAAGGGGWAGCACAGRTGGCATCGAGGGAGGCGGTCCGAGGACCGCGGRATGTGAACGGTATTCGYRGTGAGATGCACTYAGGGCCGAGTGAGCAAAGGATCGGGAGATCTACGAACAAAGCGGAGGGGTGAATCRGAATCACRGATACGAACTCCGTCAKTCCGCTACTAGAGGTACGAGGAATCCTACTGGAGGGGATCTACGTGGGGGATCAGTGAAGAGGAGGAGGAGAAAAATGGTGAGGGGTAAGAAAGCGAGGGCGGGACTTGGAAATTTTCGGCTTCTTGCGCCTTGAGCTTCTTGATAACCGCTCAAAAGGGAGAACTGTAAGTTGCGCACGCACCTGGACGAGAATTGGTCATTGATGCGCGTGACCTGCGGGCAAGCTGGAGCTAGAGATCGAGGCCAAGGTTCTGATTCCCACCTRAGATCCATGTGGAGGATGCGATCTTGAGAGCTCRRGAGGCGGGAGATCGAAGATTTGACGAAAGGAGCTGAAAAATTAACAAGTGGTTGGCGGGAGAATGGGGAAGAATAAGAAGTACGACTAGGAGAGTGGAGGGGGTGGTGATTGGAGGAAAAAAAGGAAGGACGGATCGACGCAGGGGAGAAAAAGAGTATATAAGTGAGTGTCAGGGAAGGGATAGAGGATCGCGCACGTGACGACCGTTCTTACGCACAGAGGGGGTCTTGCGTACGGTACTGTACTACGCGMCTCGGAGCGTCCCACGAAGGAGTAAGGGGAGGACGGGGGCGTACGTAGCGGGGGAGATGCCCAGGCRTTCGTTTTAGCCTGCGRCCGATAGCGCACRAGTCCTGCACAAGAGGTAKGGATGCTCRTCGARGGCGGAAGGTAGGCCGTAACGGAGACCGCCGGATAGCGGAGGAGATCAGAAGTAGTAGAGGCGCACGGGGGAGCGCACGCGGACGAGAGCGTTCACCTGGAGTAAACCTGGGCGATCGACCAGAGGGACGCTCACGCTCGAGAGGGAGCGGGAAGGAGAGAGAGGGAGAATGGGAAGGAGGAGGAGAAGCAAGTAGCGAGAAAACGGCGTGACCCGGAAGGAGAGGGAGAAGAGCAAGGCCCGGGTCCGCTTGGAGGAAGAGGAATCCTTCACACACGAACGGGGACGACTATGGCGTTGAGTCATGCCGGGAGCGCAAGCAGAAACGAGGAGCCGGGTCATCGCGCACGAGTATAAGCTGGCAGAAGTGTCCGAACAACCACCTGCAAGTGACCGGTCCATTTTGCACGAGCGAGCGGGTCGAGCGAGAGAGCCATTGGTCATTTTGTACGAGCGAGTGGGTCGATGCCTACGAGAGCACGCTGAGCGAAAGAGCCATTGATCACAGCGCACACTGAGCGAGAAAGCCACTGACCACTGCTCACGAGCGAGCTGGTCGTGGAGCTGAGAGCAAACCGCCAGGAGCAGTGCCGGACCCGTGAACGTGACCGGCCGTTCATATGGTGTTTTTTTTGTGAACGGCCGTTCACAATGAACGGGGCCGACCACTAAAGGGTGGTGTTTTTTTTTTTTTTTTTTTTTTTTTTTTTTTTTKGGCTCCCCCGGGTACATTCGCCTCAAGCCCCACAGTGTGGTGACATTGAAAAAAAAAATAAAATCAATATGACCTACAAAATAGCAAAAGAAAATGCTTACTTTGGCTGGATGATTTTTTTTTCGTTTTTAATTAAAAAAAATATTATTCGTTAAAAACAAAAATTGAAAAAATTACTGGGAGTTACCCTTCGATGTCCCCCACCCTCCTATAAAAAAAAAAACATACCCCCCCAGCCAAAAAAAATAAAAATAAAAAAAATACCGCTCTCCGTGAACTCCATGAAGTCCTGTGTTGTGAACTCCGTGAACTTTATGACCGGCTCCGTTCACAGACCCCGTGAACGGTGAACGGGGGTACGACACTGACCAGGAGTAATCAGGCCACCGCGCACGGGCGAGGGGGCCATCGAGCACGAGAGCGAGTTCAACGCGAGCACGAACTGCGTATAAGGGAGTGATCCGTCGTGCACAGGAGCAAGCTGGCTCGAAGGACGGAAGCGCCAAACCATAACGTACGAGGGACCAAATCTCTACGCAACGAGCCTCTGAGAACGAGCACCCTCTCACACGGGCATATGCTGGGCGACCAAACCTCCGTGCACGAGTGGCCGGGCTATTGCTCACGAGCGTGAGCTGGAGGGAGCGAACTAGCCGCTGGGAACGGGCGAGAGATCATTCGGGGACGAAGCGCTAGCTAACCGGCCCGAATAAGCCTTTGCGTAGGGGCGAGCCGGCGAAAGGAACTAAGTCATCGGAGTAAGAACAGGCGAGTGTGACCGAACTGTCGGGGAAGGTACGAGAGGGAGTGGCCGAGTCTTCATGGACGAACGAGGCTGACAAGAGCGGCTGGCTCTCCGCACAGGGCCCGAGGAGAAGAACGACGAGAGGTACCATCGGCAGGGGATAGCGACGACTGTTTAACAGTCGTACAACAGCTGTGAGGTGACTACGCGTGCGACTGTTTCTCCGCAACGACGACTCAACTTATAACAGTCGCTGTGAGGCGACTACGCGTGGCTATAGCGGCTGAGTCGATCTAGAGGGAACAGTCGCTGGCTTCCTCCTCTCGGGATAAGTAAACAGTCTGAAAGAGGGAGAGAGAGAGAGAGAAAGAGAGAGAGAGAGAGTGAGAAAGAGCGAGAGAGAGAAAAAGAGAGAGAGTGG